CTGTCTGTGACTCAGTTTCTCGGTCGGAGTCTCAGGAAGGTGGAGGGGGCGGGGCATTTCTCGGCACTGCCCCCTACTCTGGGAATCCCCCTGCTCCCAGCGCCGAGAGGGCTGTGGCGTCTGGGCGCCTCGGAGAGGGTGGGGGCTGCAGGGGAGCAGCTTCCGCAGGGCGGGTGGGTCTCGGGAGCCAAACCCGCGCAGGCCAGGCCTGCGAGACAGCTCCGTTGGGCTCAAAGCACGCACCCCGCCCCGCCCCGTGACCTCCTGCGGCCTCTCGGGGTGCGGGCGTGGGAGCTCCTGGTCCACTTGAGGGGAGGAGGTCAGGGGCAGGGCTGGGGAGCCCGCCCCGCCCCCGGGGTAAACAGGCGCTTCCGCACATTCTTCGCGAGCCCCTCCCCTTTCCTGCTCCTTCCCAGCCCGGGGAGGGTCCCCGTGCGACCCCCCCCTTCCTGCCCCGCCAGGCAGGCGGAGCCTGCACCTCTGCAGGAAGTGGGGGACGAGCCGAGGCCACGCTGAGTCCGAGACCGAGTCACCCGCGGCCACCCTGTCATTAGCGCCAGAGCCGATGGGGTTGTCGGACTCCCAGCGACAGGCTGTGTCCGGCAGGACTGAGATACAGAGGCTGGGCCGCGGGGAGGGAGCTTCAAGGGCCCGACTGGCGCTGGACACCCGCCCTCGCCACCCTCAGGGAGCCCCGCGCGGACTCATTCCATGATGTCCCTGTCTGTGCGGCCGCAGCGCCGCCTGCTCAGCGCCCGGGTCAGTAGGAGCCAGTCCTTCGCAGGCGTCCTCGGCAGCCAGGAGCGGGGGCCCAGGTATGCAGCAGACGGGGGGGAAATGGGGTCAAGAAAGCCTGACCGGGTTGGAGCTGGGTGTGCAAGTGAGGGTTTGGGGGACATCTTCTTTCCCATTTCTGAGTACAGTCTCTTCTTCAGGAGCTTCCCAGCCTTCAGTCCCCCGGGGCCCCCACGGAAGCCCCCAGCGCTCTCCCGAGTGTCGAAGATGTTTTCCGTGACGCACCCAGCCCCCAAGGTCCCACAGCCTGAGCGGCTGGACCTGGTGTACGCTGCGCTCAAGCGGGGCCTAACGTAAGCAACGCCCTCCCAACGCTTTGTCCCAGGATCCTTCCCCAAGGCCTCGTTGTCCCCTTTCTGCTAGTAGGAACCTTCCCCAGCCTCACACTGTGTCCTCACTGCCTGTTCCCGGGGCAGCTGGAAGCTGGAGAGCTAAGCCAATTCATGTGGTCTCCCCTTCCTCTAGGGCCTATTTGGAAGTGCACCAGCAGGAGCAGGAGAAACTCCAGGGACAGATAAGGGAGTCCAAAAGGAATTCCCGCCTGGTGAGTGAAGGGTGACATCCTGTATGCCCTTTGCTCTTGTGGTGTGGGGGGCTGGGCAGGGCCAGTCCTTGATGACATCAGGGCTGTTTTCTGGGATGACTTACACCAGGTGTGACTAGAAAAGGGGATATCAGGAAAGGCTGGGAAGGTTTCTTTCTCCGCTTTTCAGTCTGTATGTACTTTCTGCCTGGGACCCGGTGCCTGCCTATGGGAGCTCCCAGAGGGGTGGGTCAAATCCAGAGACATGAACAGCAGGACAATATTGTAGTGGTACTGAGGGGGAGAGCCATGGTTCTTCCAGGGAACACGTCATGGCTTTCCAGAGGAAGAAACATTTCTGCTGGGTCTTGAAGCGTGAATAGGAGCTTCCTGATAGAGGGAATTATGCATGAGGAGGCACAGAGGGCTCCTAGGGGTTGTAGGAAAGGCAGTGGGCCCGGAGAGGGATCTATGGAAGAGGTGGAGGGAAAAGTACTGGAAGGGTGTTGGGGACCAGATCTATGACACCAGCACCCACCAAAGACCAGGCATGTGGGAAGGTAGGTCAGTCCTACTTTGACTGGAGTAGCTGTAAACTGTGGTGTGAGGGAGGCAGGCTGTGAAGGAAAGGAGCTAGATGGGTCTGGGTGAGCAAGTGCCCCTGCTGGAGTACTTCTCAACACCTCTTAATTGCCCCCTCTCATTTCTCCTCGCAGGGCTTCCTGTATGACTTGGATAAGGTGAGTGTATAGAGAATGGTGTTGGAAGAGGGTGGTTTGAGGGAGGAAAAGGGCTCTGGGCCTCAGGCTTTTCCTAACGCACCTCTCCCCCAGCAAGTCAAGTCCATTGAACGCTTCCTGCGACGGCTGGAGTTCCACGCCAGCAAGGTACTTGTGCAGCATGCGTGTGTGCTTGCTGTGTGGGGTGAGGGATTGGGCATCACAGCGAGATGGGATGATGCTAGGCCCTGGGTGAGCAACCCTAGTACTGAGTGTCAGTCCCCTCTCTGCCACTCTATTCACCTGCCCAGATCGACGAGCTGTATGAGGCATACTGTGTCCAGCGGCGTCTCCGGGATGGGGCCTACAACATGGTCCGTGCCTACAGCACTGGGTCCCCAGGGAGCCGTGAGGCCCGGGACAGCCTGGCCGAGGCCACTCGGGGCCATCGCGAGTACACAGAGGTGAGGGGTGTGTGCCTGTGAGGCAGAGGCACAGGGTGTGGCAGAGCTGGTGAGAGGCGACTGGTTCTTGACCTCCTCCTGTCCCTGCCCATCCCTCCCAGAGCATGTGTCTGCTGGAGAGTGAGCTGGAAGGACAGCTGGGCGAGTTCCATCTCCGGATGAAAGGTACCGAGTTGTGAGGCAGACTGGTGGCTGGGAGAGGGAGGTGTGTCCTTGAGACCCCTGGATACGGCTCACCTCCTTCTCCCCTCCTCCCAGGGCTGGCCGGCTTCGCCAGGCTGTGTGTGGGCGATCAGTATGAGGTATGAGGATGTGCAGGGAAGGGCTGGGCTGGCAGGGTCATAACACCAAGGGCTGCCTCATCCTGCTTCTTCTAGATCTACATGAAATACGGGCGTCAGCGCTGGAAACTACGAGGCCGCATTGAGGGTAGCGGAAAGCAGGTGTGGGACAGTGAGGAAACCGTCTTTCTTCCTCTGCTCACGGAATTCCTGTCCATCAAGGTGATGTCTCTGCCCAGGACCACATACATTATCCTGTGACTCCATGACTCTGTGAATCCCTTATGACTCTTATGACCCTGAGACACTTACCCCTGTGACTCCCACCTGGTTCCACGGCCCTTTGAATGTAACCCCTTGACCTTCATAATGCTGTGATTTCCTCATCACTTTCTGACCTTGTGAATATTTGACCCCTGAACTCCCATGAGGCTGTGACCCCATGGCCTCAATGACTCTTCAAATTTAGACCTGTGATCCCCATGCTCCCAGGCTGCATCAAGCCAACTTTACCCTGTGACTGTCGCATAACCTCCATGCAAATTCATACCTCTGGTCTCCTGCAGTCTCATGACTCCCACACCCTTGTGATCCCATCTTGCATTCTTGGCTTCAGGTGACAGAACTGAAGGGCCTGGCCAACCATGTGGTTGTGGGCAGTGTCTCCTGCGAGACCAAGGACCTGTTTGCCGCCCTGCCCCAGGTTGTAGCTGTGGACATCAATGACCTCGGCACCATCAAGCTCAGCCTGGAAGTTACATGGAGGTTGGTGGGACTGAAGGGGTTGGGGACAGGGCTGGGGCCTGTGGCGCCTGCTAACAGCTTCTTCCCTCTCCAGTCCCTTCGACAAGGATGACCAGCCTTCAGCTGCTTCTACTGTCAACAAGGCCTCCACAGTCACCAAGCGCTTCTCCACCTACAGCCAGAGCCCCCCAGACACACCCTCACTTCGGGAACAAGCCTTTTATGTGAGTCACAGCCGGGACTCAGGCTCCACCATTCCCCAGAAGCTTCCTGGGGGTGGTCCTGAAACACCTCTTCTCTTCCAGAATATGCTACGGCGGCAGGAGGAGCTGGAGAATGGGACAGCATGGTCCCTGTCATCTGAATCTTCCGATGACTCATCCAGCCCACAGCTCTCAGGCGCTGCCCGCCACTCCTCAGCCCCCAGGCCCCTGGTGCAGCAGCCTGAGCCTCTCCCCATCCAAGTTGCCTTCCGTAGGCCTGAGACCTCTACTTCTGGTTCCACAGATGAGGAGGGGGCCACGGCCCCAGCCCTGGCCAATGGGCATGCCCCCTATACCCGGACTCTGAGCCACATCAGTGAGGCCAGTGTGGATGCTGCCCTGGCTGAGGCTTCAGTGGAGGCTGTGGGTCTAGAAAGTCTAGTCCAGAGACCTAGCCTGCCTGTACACCCAGATCCCACCCATAGGGAGCACCCTAGTTCTGTCCCTCCTGCTCTGGACTCCAGCCATTCTGCCACAAGCCCCATTCTCAGTACAACAGGCCCTGGCTACACATCTGCACAACTAGAGTCGGTTCACACGGTGGTAAATTCTAGCTCTTCTGAACTGCCAGGCCCCACCCACACCACTATAAGCTTTACGTCAGCTACCATAAGCCCTACCCACGGTGTTCCAAGCCTCACTCACACTACCACAGGTTCTACCCACAAGCCTGTGATCTCTACCCTTGCTCCTACAGGCCCCACCCCAAGTACCACAGGGCCAGTGCAGATCACCGCAAGTTCCACCCACAAGCCAATGCTTTCTGTCCTCACTCCTGCTGCTCCTACCCCCAGTACTACAGGCCCAGTCCAGACCACCACAAGCCCCAGACACACTGTCACAAACCTGATACACATTGTCACTAGCCCCACCAATAAGCCAATGGTCTCTACGCTTACTACTACAGACCCTACCCTGAGTGCCACAGGCGCAGCCCAGACTATCACAAACCCCACCCACACTGCCACTAGCCCTACCCACACTACCACTAGCCCCACCCACACTACTGCAAGCCCTACCCATGCTACCACAAGCCCTACCCATACTACCACAAGCCCCACCCACACCACTGCAACCTCTACTCACAAAGCCAGGATGTCAACTCACACCACTACAAGTTCTGCGCCCAATGCTAAGGATCCAGTTCAGACCACCAGGAGTCCTACTCATCCTGTCACAAGCCCCACTCTTACAACTGTAAGCCCTTTCACTTCTCTAGACCTTGCCACACTCCCCAGCCCCTCTGCAAACACAGACTCTGCCCTCCCAGGCACTGACCCCCTGTCCTGTAGCTACCCAGTCTCCACTCCCTGCACTCAGGCAGACCCCATAGCCCCGAGCACCCCCTACCCAAGTCCTGCCTGTTCCAGTTTGGAACCCCTCACAAGCCCTTCTCCAACCCCCCCAGAAGCCATCCGTCAGAGCCCAAGTCCTCCTCCCTCACCCCTAGCCTCTGTGCCCCAGCATTCAGACCCTAGCCTGGCCAGGGCTGCCCAGGCCCCAGTTCCAGGGACAGCCCGAGGCGCTGGGGACAGGAGGTTGGAAGAGGCACTAGGGGCCCTAATGGCTGCCCTGGATGACTACCGTGGTCAGTTTCCCGAGCTGCAGGGCCTGGAGCAGGAGGTGATCCGGCTGGAGAGTCTGCTCATGGTGAGGAGGGCCAGGCTGGGCTATGGCAGTGCAGGGAGGGCAGCTAGGCAGGGGCAGCAGCTCTGACTCCCTTCATAACCCCAGCAGAGACAAGGCCTGACTCGCAGCCGGGCCTCCAGTCTTAGCATCACTGTGGAAAATGCCCTGGAGAGCTTCAGCTTCCTCAATGAGAATGAAGATGAAGACAGTGATAGTCATGGGGACAGGTGAGAAGGGCTAGGTGAGGGGGGGAGAGGGGAGGTGAGTGCCAGGGGAAGGAAAGAGGTGAGAAAAGGAAACAGGTGAGGTAGGGCCAGGTGGAGGAGAGCAGTAAGGACTGGAGGTGGGCAGGAGGGATGGACTTGCTGACGGGGGCATCCATGTTCACCTCTCCCATGTACTCCTTATGTGTCCTTGATCCTGGTGTTTCAACCCCATCTGTATCCCCAGTGCTTCTGGCTACCTTCCTCCTCATCCGTGTCCACCTCCCTCACTGTTCCCTGTCAGCTCCTGAATCTCCAGCTCCTCCTTTCTCCCTTGGCCTCACCTTGGCCCTACCCTATGAACAAGCGCTTTCTTTGCCTCCTCATACAGCCTGGGTCCCTCCTCAGCATCAACCCCCTCTGTTTCGACTCCAGATTTCCCCTTAGTTCTCTGTCCCGGAGCGGCCTTGCCAAGTCCCAGTTGAGTGTCATGCCCGGCCCCTCCTCCCTCTGATGCTGCTTAGGTTACAGCCTTGTGCCCTGAGCTCTTGGGCCACAACCACTTGAAGTCCACGTTGTGTAGAACATCCTGCTTGCAGCCCTACTTCTGCCCATCCCAGCTCCAGCGACCCCAGCAGTCCTGGCAGTCCTAGCTGGAGGTGGCACTGGAGAGATGGTCTCTGGAAACCCCTGCTACCACGTGCTGTTCTCAGTGCCTTCTTCCTTCTGGAAGTCCTCAGTGAACTTACCCATTTGTCTGTTGTCTGTGCATTCTCTGTTCTTTTGTTCTGGATTGGGGGAAGCTTTTTAAAAATACACTGGTGACCAGATGGTGATGTGTGCTCCTGGGGTGACTGACTCATTTTTCTCTTAGGCTCCTAAGCAGCCCAGAACCTGGGGCTGAGGACATCGACTCACCTAGTGCCCAACCCCTCAGCACGGAGTGTCCAGCTCTGGATGCTGCATTGGTCCAGCACCTGTACCACTGTAGCCGCCTCCTAATGGTGAGGGCAGTGGTATTTCCTTCTTCCCCTTCACCTTGTAGCCCCTTACCCCACGAAGCCCTGCACTTCAACCCTGGCCCTCCACACCTCCTCTGAGTTCCACTCCCCAGTGCCTCAGGACCTGGCTCTTGCTGAATGGAACACCTCCCAAATTCTAGTTTCCCCAAGTCTCTCCCAATGCATGGACTTGTAGTCCCTGGGCTCTGCCCTCTCTAAGCTCTACCTTGAGGTCTGAGCTACTTGGCTACCCCTGTTCTCCAGAAACTGGGCACATTTGGGCCTCTTCGCTGCCAGGAGGCTTGGGCCCTGGAGCGGCTGCTGCGGGAGGCCCGAGTGCTCGAGGCAGTATGTGAGCTTAGCAGGCGATGGGAAATCCCTGCTACCTCTGCCCAGGAAGGTAAAGGCTGTGTGGGCTCTGGGTCGGGTCTACCTCAAAGCTCCTCCCTTGCCCTCCCTCATCTACACGTCTGTCTCCTCACTCGTCTGCTTTATTGCTGACTGTTTTGTGCACCTCCTCACAGTGGTGCAGTTCTCTGTCTCTCGGCCCGGCTTCCTGACCTTCTGGGACCAGTGCACAGAGGGACTCAGCCCCTTCATCTGCCCTGTGGAGCGGGTGCTCCTGACCTTCTGCAATCAGTACAGTGCCCGTCTCTCCCTGCGCCAGTCAGGTTTAGCTGAGGCTGGTGAGTGGGCTGCCTACCTGCCCACTCTGCCCTCTCTTCTCAAATCCCCTTTGATGGGCCCTCAGGGAAAGCCAGGTTAGCCCACATAAATACACTGAGCTGAGCACTGGGAAGAAATACTGAAGGCTCATGCCTCAGCACAGAAGGGTCCAGATGGGTAGGGTTTGGACAGGGGGTCCCTGGACCTGAGCTTGGGGTGGGAGCACTCTTCTAAGGGCCTGGGTCCATCCAAACCCTTGAGGCCTGTGGCACTGCCTCCCACAGTGTGTGTCAAGTTCCTGGAGGATGCCTTGGGGCAGAAGCTGCCCCGGAGGCCCCAGCCAGGCCCTGGAGAGCAGCTCACCGTCTTCCAGTTCTGGAGTCACATCGAAACCCTGGACAGCACCTCCATGGAGGCCTATGTGACGGAGACTGCCGAGGAGGGTGAGGCAGTGGCCCTGGTCACAAAGTGGCCTGACCCTAGGGGTGGCTTTGAAGGTGTGATTGAGGACCTGAGGGTAAAAAAGACCCCACCCCAGAAGGTTCCTTACCCTGCCACCTTGTTCCAACTGGCACCCCCGACCTGGCTTCCTTCTTTCAGTGTTCCTGGTGCGGAATCTGAACTCAGATGACCAGGCTGTTGTGCTAAAAGCCCTGAGGTTGGCACCTGAGGGGCGGCTTCGAAGGGATGGTCTCCGGGCCCTCAGCTCCCTGCTTGTCCATGGCAACAACAAGGTCATGGCTGCTGTCAGCACTCAGCTCCGGAGCCTGTCATTGGGCCCTGACTTCCGGAAAAGGGTGAGAGTTGGGTAGGCCTCCCTGAGGGCAAAGGCTGGGGTCCCAGGCTCCAACTGTCTGGCTAAGTCTGCCCTCCCACCATTACCCAGGCCCTACTGTGCTTCCTGGACCAACTCGAGGATGAGGATGTGCAGATGAGAGTGGCTGGCTGCCTGGCCCTGGGCTGCATCAAGGTGACCCCTGCCAACCTACCCATACCTTCTCTACTCTCCCAGCTCCCCAAGCCCTGGGTCCTGGGCCTTTCCCATCTGCTCTATGCAGCCTACCTCAATGCTCCCTCCCCCGGTAGGCTCCCGAAGGCATTGAGCCCCTGGTGTACCTGTGCCAAACGGACACAGAGGCCGTGAGGGAAGCTGCTCAGCAGAGCCTGCAACAATGTGGTAAGGCTGGGGAATGGCATATATGGGTCAAGTTGATTTCTGGGACATTTTTGGCTGATGGGAGTAGAGGTGAGAAGGGGTTAGGGATGGGAGGGCCAGTTTAAGGCTAGGGCTATTCTTGACTCCCTCCTTATCCATTACAGGGGAGGAGGGACAGTCCGCCCATCGACGGCTGGAGGAGTCACTGGATGCCCTGCCCCGCATCTTTGGGCCTGGCAGCATGGCCAGCACGGCATTCTAAACTTCCCTCCCACTAGCCCCCAGTGCCCCTTCCCCACACTTTCAGGGCTTACCAGGCACTGGCAGGGAGGGTGAGGGCTGGCTCCAGACACCCCTCCCTCACAGATTCCTATCAATGAAAATCTAATATATTCTTCTGTTATCCTTGGGGTTGGTAGAGTCAGTGCCACAGTCAAGTGCCTCCCAGCCTCGGCTCAGCACACTTGCCATTGATCAGTGTCACGGGCCTGGCCATCCTGCCTCTGCCCCATGATGTCCCTTGGTTTTGTATTTTATTTACAGAGTTTTACAGAAAATAAAAAAGCAAAATGCCTTTCCTACATAGCCGACTAGCCTGGTGCACTCCTGACCTCCTGCTTTGGCACCCTTTGGCTGTGGACCTCACTGACACTAGTGACAGTGGCATGTGGTTTCACCCTGGAAATACCACCCTGGTGGAAGAGAGCCCAGGGGCTGGAACTGGGCTTAGAAAAGAGGGCAGAGGAAGAGAGTGGTGGGGTGTTGCTGAGGAGGCCCAGCCTGCAGCCTGGGCCAGAAAGCTATGGGCCTAGGCTGGAGCCAAACTGTGGAGTTGGTGTAGAAGTCCCAAAGGGTGCCAGTCCTGAGAATGGCTTCCTAGTAGCCAGCTAGCTTGCCATGGCCTGGAGGCAAAGAGGAAGCAGGCAGGGAAAAAAAGCATGTGGTGGCTGGAGCTTCTGGCCACCAGGGGGCAGCAGAACCCCTTCAGGCGGTGCCAGGCTTCTGGGTCTTTGCTTCACCCTGGCAGCTTCCTACACAGGAGGCTGAGCACCAGCAGCTCCTTGAAGGCTGGGTGGTTAAGAGGGAGGGGAGATTCTTGCAGAGGGGAAGAGCTGCGGCCTGGGAGACAGGAGACCCGGATGGCTGCCCTGTGACTCTAAACAGTAAGTCCCTTTTCTCCCTGAACCGCCTCCTGTCTGTGATAACAAACCTGACTGAACCCTTTGGCCTCACAGCTGGCTGACCCATGCTGCTTCAGGAAGGAGGGCTCCAGGGAGAGGGCTCACATGAGCTTATTAACCCCAGAAAGCTGAGTCCAACAGGAGGAGCTTCAGGGTGGGGTGGGACTTCAGTTTGGCAATCCTGTTCTAAAGAGGGCCTGAGGGAGGCCCACACTCAAGGCCGGACAGGTCCTCCACCCTTCCCCTCTCCCTCCAGAACTTTCATTATCCAAAGGCAAGGAGACAGTGAAAAGGGCCTTCCCCACTCCTTGAGCCCACTCTGGTGTCTTAGTACCTGTGGCGGTAGCACAGCAGCGTGACACCCTAGGGAGAATGTGTGTGCCTGCACTCAGGAAGAGCCAATGAGGTGCCAACAGGCCCCCCCCGGGGGGGGTGACCCAGATCCCCAGAGAGCCCTTCCCCCTCCCCACCCCCCAAGTTTTAGAGCTGTATATGAAGAGGTTTGGCTGGGTCCTTAACCATCTGATGGGGAAGCCAAGCTGAGCAGAAAAAAAAACAAAACAAAAAAGAAAACGGTAACAGGAAGAAGGACAGGAAACACCTGTGTGTGGATGCAGGTGGCTCATTCCAGTTGGGTGGGGGTGGGCGTGGGGTTGGGGGCAGACAACCCTCAGCACAGATCTGTGCTCCCTCTATAACTATGAAGGGTGGCATGGAGGGATGGTGCAGCTCAGTTTTTTTAGGTGGTCAGCTGGGGTAGTAGCAGGTGGGGAAGGCAAACAAGTGATAAGAGACCAAGCCAGCACCCAAAGCTAGCCACAGCTTGGGCCAAGCCCCTGCAGGAGGGTTGCAGTCCCAGAACCTCCCCTAATAGCCCCTCAGGCCTGAGGCCCCACAAGAGGCCCACTGGTAGGGCAGGACTGTCCACTTGCTTCCAAAGTATGGCCTGTGTCATGGGGAAAAACAAGTGAACACTGGCTGACCAGGTCCTGGTAAAGTGCAGGCAGGGGTGACTGGGACAGCACCAGCTCACTGTTCAATCTACAGGAGAGGAGAGGATCTGGGCAAGAAATGTAGGATGAAAAAAAATCCCAGCCAGGGGTTAACTGGGATTGTCACTGAAAATCTGAATGGCCCTACATCCCTGCTTTCTAATTCTGGGAAGGGATAGGGCACCTAACTGTTCTCTGCAAGGAAGAGTCCTGAGGCCAGGGCCTAGTATTCAGCTCTAGCCGACCGTGGATGTGAGGGTCAGAGGGGCAGAAGCTAGAAATAGAGCACTGTGCGCCTACTAGGTACAGCTGAAGGACTGTCAAGGCCAAGACAAAAAGAGCTTCAGGCCTCTTTAGCCTGCCTAGCTCAAAGCAGTGTGGATCAACCCCAGAACAGCCATGCAACCCCTCTTCATCAGTGACTGGACAGCTTCCTAAACCCAGGTTCAGGCCCAGATCTGAGATGGTGGAGGGCAGGGAGAGCCCTTGTCTTCACTCCTGTGTCCCCCAAACACACAGCCTCACAGGTGCCTCCCATAGGTCCTCCCACAGGGCAAAGCTACTCCCGGCACACCTCCCACCTCCTACTCTGCTGTCACACAGCTGTGGGAAGGCACTCATTTCTGTCCTGGACTGGACAGTTGAGAGCCTGCTGCCTCAATTGGGAGGTTGATGTCAGGAGTCAAAGGCATCAGGACAGGGAGAGCCTGTGCCAGCCTCTGTGAGAGGACAGAAGAAAGTACGCCTCCAAGGTCTGTGACACAGAGAAATGCCCCATCAATCAAGTCCATGAAGGCCACAGCCATGCCTTGGCCATCATCACTGGGACTCTCCCCAGAGAAAACTAGTAAGTGCACACTGCAAAAAAAATAATTAATTAAAAAAAAAAAAGAAAGAAAAGGGGACGAGGCTGAGATAGTCCAGGATACAATTTATTGTGTTGGTGGTCACTGGAGGCTCCCCCTACTCTCCTCCCCTTTTGCTCTCTTCCAATTTTACCTTTCCTTCTGTCTCCCACTCTTCTTCCTCATGTATTCAAAGCTGCAGAGAACCAAAATAAGAAGGAAAAAAGGCATGTTGGTAAAGGCAAAAAAGCAGACGGGTTGGCATGTGGGAAGAGGACTGCTTCTTTGTCTCGCCCACAAAGTGGAGGTGCCTTCCTTGTGTGCTTCTGCCTGATGTGTGGGTACAATTTGCTGAACCCTAGGCATATGACATTCACCCCACCCCACACCCCCAATAGCCTTGGAGTGCCTTATTTAGGCCGTCCATCACTTATGGACAGAAGGCTCTTGGCTTGTCTGCCAGACCCAGCTCTCTGGGCCCGGGTAATATAGGAGGGTGAGCTTGGGAAGGACTCTGGGGCCTATATGAACTGCTAAAGAACATCTATTGTTTGCAAAGACTGTCACTGATCTGTAAGAAGGGGTCTCTTGTTTCAGAAAGCTACAGTGGGGTGATGGCCAGTTTGAGTGTGATGTCAATGGTCAAGTCTCACTTACCTCTGAAGACACCCAGGGCATATACATCTTCAATAAATGCTGACTTGGAGCAGCTGAATAAGCAGACTGTCATGCTAACACCTGTGTTTCCAGCTATCTCCTCTGAATCTCCTCAGAACCTTCTCCACATTTCCTCAAGCATCCTCTTACAAACATCACTCCACAGGATTCCATTCTAGGCCTTTTTCTCCTCTCTCTTGAAACACACTACTTGAACTACCTCATCCATTTCTCTGGCTTCTATCTGCTGAAGCTGTATGCCAATTATTCACACAGCTCTCTCCTCACCTCCAGACTCCTAGATCCAGCAGCTGACTGGACACCTCCTTTTGAACAGCATGCTCAAAATCAAACTTACCACCTCAAAACCTGTTTCTTCCCTAGGGCTCCTGAGGTTACAAACTGCCCAGGTACCCAGGCCACATCACTCGGTCTCATCTTTGACTCTTTCCTCTGTCCCCTCATCCCAGCCACCAGAATCTTCTTGATTAAATGCCCTAAATATTTCTAAATTCTGTTTCTGTGTATTCCTGTTGGGACCACTCAGGTTCTGGACATGTTGACCTCTCACATAAACATTAAAACTGCTCCGTCACAGGCCTCCTGCTTCTGGTCTTGCCCTTCTTCTGTCCATTTTCCAAGATGCAAAGTGATTTCTAAAAACATAAATCTATCACTACAGTCTCGCTTTCTCTTAGGAAAAATTCCAACCCCCTCAACCTGGCTCACAAAGCCTTTTACGTGTGTTCCTCTATCCAGCCTCACTTCTGCCATCTAACTTCTCAGTGTGCACTGGACCTCACTGAACCACCTGCAGGGCTTGCTCGCCTCTCCATGGTACACTCTTCCCACCCCTCATCTTGCCTTGCTAATCCCTGTTCACCTGATAGGCTTCAGCCTACACACCGTAAATTTCTTCAGGAAGCTTCCCTTCCACTATGCTCCTGTTACGGAAGCCTCTATTTCCCCTAGTACTATACCCCATTGCAATTGCTCATTTACTTTGTACCCTCCAATATCGACATCCATAAGTATTTGCTAACTATTCTACTAGGTAACAGGCATCACCCAAGTCTGAGAAAGATGACTGGTATCTTCCCTTGCAGAGCTCAGTCCAAGTTTTTTCTTTTGTTTTTAAACAGTTTATTGAGATTTAGTCCACATACTATGCAATTTAAATGTACAATTCAATGGCTTTTAATGTATTTACAGAATTGTGAAATCATCACCACAATCAATTTTAGAGATTTTATCAATCCCCCAAAACACTCTGCACCTCTTAGGTACCATCCCTGGGGTCTCTGCATTCCCTACCTTTCTCTGTCCCCGAGACCCTGAGGCAACCATTAATCTACTGTAACCACAGATCTCCATCAATTTGCTGATTCTGGATATTTCTTATGAATGAAATCAGCTTAGGTCTTCCCAACTTACTCAATTCTAAGATTCACCTTAGAACTTTCCTGGAGATTCAGAGACCAGAGAGTCTATATTTTAAATACGTGCTCTAAGAGAGTAGATCTTAAAAGTTTTCAACACAAGAAAAAAAAAACTCTAACTATGTGAGGTGATAGATGTTAACTAAACTTATTTTGGTAATCATGTCGTAATATACACATATATCAAATCATTATGTTGTATACTATAATACAATGTTATACCTCAATTATATCAATAAAACTGGAAAATATAAAATTAAAAAATTTAAATATATAAAAATAAAATACATTATGGCTAAGTTAGGTGTATCCCAGGAAATACATACATACATACATAAGTACATACTCCAGGTATTTCTCTATTTAATTAGGCTGCATCTGCCTTTACTGTCCCCAGCAAATAAGGCCAAATATATAGTAAGTGGTCAAGCTTTTGATGAATACCTCTAAAACTTAACACAATATGAAACA